CATGAGTCTCATATTTGGAATTTGCTAACCCTTTCTCCTATTTGGAAGGGGTATTTATACAAGTTTACACCAAAGGAAGTGGAGAGAAATCCGGGATTGCCATTAGACTTGGTAAGCAATTTCGTGATTTTAATGATTGTGCGCTAGGATCGCTCAGATATTGATTCGTTCTTATCCCTCCCGAGATGTTCGAGATAAGGCTTATCCCTTATTCTGTCGAACAACTATATTAGATGGTAGCGATGAGGTTATGCTGAGTCGGATTTCAAGATTCCATGATCTTGAGATCACGTCGATCTACTGATTTTCGGGCTACCGAGACTTTCGAGCTTATGACAAAAAGCACACATAACAGATATTAAAGTAAAGGTCATGATTTGAATCTCCCACATATTACATCCTACTGTATTTGGGTTGGTCTTTCTGTCTGAATTTGGGCTTGGTTTATGTAACACGTGAAGATCCCTCTTACAAAGCTTAATACCTTTTTCGGCTTAAGCTTTTAGGTCAAGTTGTTTATCAATAAAATTATTGTTGAAATTCCGTTATAATTTCAATTTCTTGTGGTCTTTCTTGCTTTCAATATAAGTAATCAGTTTATTTATGCTTAAAGTTAACTGTTTTGCACTTAAATAATATTTTTATAAAGGAGATTAAATTAATAGTAATAATTTTGATTAAGCATTATTGAAGATATAAAAGTAGTTGTGTTCCCGATTGGCGTAAAAAAATTTTAATCAATAAGCAAACACTGATTATAAATGTGTAATATTAAAATTCATGGATTCCCTTGAAATTAACTTGGCTTCTATGAGCATTGTAATTAAACATGATTAAAATTATCTCATAAAATTTGTGGTTCATAGGATTAACATAAAAACAAAGAGGAGAAGATGGAAAATTTAATCAATAAACAACAAATGAATGTTAAATAAATACATAATGATCAATCCACTACCAATGAATAAGGGAAATTAATTGAAAGAATTAGCATGTCAAAACATTGAGAGAAAAGTTCAAGATTCTGTCTCATATTTCATCAATTCTCTCGTAAAATATGATGCGTTGAAAAATTAGAATAGAAAAGTCTTATAGCTATAAAATCTTTCTTTCTTCTAATAGATTCCATCTATTATTGGAAGTATAGTCTCTAATGAACTTCAAATCCGACTTCGCTGCCTCGTGGCACGCCTCTAATAATAGTCTCTAATAAACAACATAAAAACTGATCTTATAAATGAAGAAGTTTTAACTAAAAAGGGATATGGACCTAATGTTGTTTGCTACAATACTTTAATCAGATGGTATTGCAAGAATAAAGAAGTCACTGAAGTTCTTAGTGTTTATCAAGAGAAGATTTTAGAAGGAATTAGGCCTAATGTGATTATAAATGACAATTTGTTAACTTCCCTTTTTCTTAAAGCTAATGTGAAAGATGCACATAAATTAGTTGGTGAGATGCAACTTAATGGTTTTACCTTATTCTTGGACACATAGCATTTTCATTGATGGACTTTGCAAGAATGGATGTGTTTCGGAAGAAATGGAAATGTTTCATAAGTTTGTATTTTACTTTGAAAGCTTGAATTCCCTCTTTGATGGATTTTGTAAAACATGGTTATCTGAAACTGCTCGGTAGCTATTTTAGAAATTTCTCTCATTGAAAGCATAGTGCCAAACATTGTTGTTAGAAATTTTGTAACTGCTTTTAGAATTTAGTTTTGATGGATACCATTATTTCTAAATTTTACAAGCAATTGGGGTCATAATAGAGATTACAATGTTATAAGAAGCACATTCATAACAGAAGCTCTTTATTGAGATATGTGTATGTGTGACTGTCTAATAACTTGATATGTGTTGATCATATATGTTACACATTGTGGATAAGCTAATGTAGAACATTAAAATAGGATCATAAAGTGTTAAGGACATCAAGTCAACTCCTTTGAGCTTCACTATGATTGTAGAAATTCACTTAAGATTTTTGAAATAATAAAATTTCCCTTATTATTAATAAACTATTAGTCTGCTAGAACATATATCTATAAAATTAATAAATATGTATTAAATTCCCCTGATTCTATTTTAACCCTTATAATTTAACAGTGGAGATTTTTATTATTTTATAAATTTGATTATTTTTATTACATTAAACCTCAAGGCTGTCAATATAACTTTATTGTATAATACAAAACTAGTAATTATATTAAACTATACATACTATTATTTTAGTAATATAGATGTTTCAGCAATATAATTAGTGTGATAATCTTATTAATATGATAATGAAACATTATTCATAAAACTTCTAAAGGTAAAAAACAATATCCCTTGAATTTTTAATATATCACATTCGATAATGTGAAATATCGATTTTGAAATATTTAAAAGTTCTAAGAACAAATAGAAAAAAAAAATTTTTTTTAATATCATTGTAAATTAAACCCAAACTTCAATAGAATATTTATTTGAATCTTATAATTTATAAATAAAATAGGTAAAAAAAATTACAATTGATGGGTTGCATTTTGTTTGATGGGTTGGATAATTTTGGATTCAGTAGAAAACCAGCTCAAAAGTCAAACCGAAAAGCACCTGAAGGTGGATTTACATTTTTAACCTTCATGGTGCTAAATGAAATCATGAAGGTTTTTTATAAAATTTGTCAAAACATTTCTCTTTAATCAGTTTAATGCATTTGCATTTTGCAATAAACTTACTGCGGAAAAACGACCGTAAAAAACACTCTTCATAAATGGCTTTGAGATCCCTCTTTCATTCGTCTTCAATCTCTCAAAACCCATCTTTAAAAGTTAATGATTTATTTTTGTTAGCTCACTTACACAACCTCACGTCTTCAAGCTCCAGAAATGAAGTTTTGTATTCTTTGGAAAAACCCCTGGAACGATCCTCACTTGCTAAATTCCTCAAAGAAAATTGTCGATCAGGTAGCTTTACTCTGAATGAAGCACTATACTTTTTTTATTACATGATTAATACGAAACCCATTTCTCCAATTTCATCATTCACTACTTTGTTTAGTGCACTAGCTAAGAAGAAGCATTATTATGAAGTGATTTCGCTTTATAAGCTATTGAATTCAACTAGGTTGTCTCCAGATTTTATATCCTTGAATATTTTGATGAATTGCTTCTGTAATATTGAAAGGGTTGCTAATGGTTATGCGGTTTTTGGGGCGATTTTGAAGTTGGGTTTTAGCCCAAATACGGTGACATTTACTTGTTTGATTAAAGGTCTGTGTGTAGAGAGAAAGATTATGGAATCAATGAAATTGTTTAAGAAAATGATTGATGTTGGTTGTAGGCCTAATGTGATCACTTGCAACACTTTGATTGGTGGATTGTGTAAAACAGAGAAAATAAGTGTTGCCATTAAGTTTCATGAAGAGATGGTTAATGGGAATAAAGAATTTGGTGTTATCTATAGGCCAAATTTTGTTACTTATAATACTATAATTGATGGTCTTTGTAAGGCTAGATTGGTTGAGAAGGCTAGACAACTATTTTTTGAACATATGATTTAGAGGGGTGTGGTTCCTAACATTTATACTTACCCCCATTTTAATAAACGGTTATTGCTTGGCAGATAGAATTGGTGATGCATGGGAATTGTTTGATTCTATAACTAGAAAAGGGTATATACCTAATGTTGTTTGCTACAATGGTATTGCAAGAATAAAGAAGGCAATGAAGCTCTTAGTCTTTATCGAGAGATGATTTCAAAAGGAATTAGGCCTAATGTGATTACATATAACACCTTGTTAACCGGCTTTTTTCTTATAGCTAAAGTGAAAGATGCGGAATTTAGTTGGTGAGATGCAACTTAACGATGCTTTTCCTAATTCCTAGACACATAACATTTTCATTGATGAACTTTGCAAGAATGGATGTGTTTTGGAAGCGGTGGAAATGTTCAATACTCTAGTAAATAATAAGTTTGCAGTTAGCATTGAAGGTTTGAGTTCCCTCATTAATGGATTATGTAAAATAGGGAGATTTGAAACTGCTTGGGACCTATTTCAAAAAATTTATCTTCATGGAAACCTAGTGCCAAACATTGTAACATATAGCATTTTGATCAATGTATGGGCTGTGTAAAATTGGACAACTAGAAATGACAAATGAGTTGTTGTCATATATGTAGAAAAAAGGTTGTGCTCCAAATGTAGTCACATTTACTATGCTTATGTTTGGTTTTCTCAAGAATAATGAGATACCAAAAGTTGTTGAACTCCTTCATAAGATGGCGGAGAAAAATGTGAAGCCGACTGAATGTACAATGTCCTTAGTCATGCAGCTACTAATGAAGGCCGAAAATTATCGTGAATGTTTGAACGAGCTTCCTCAATTTCTGGTCCAAAAGTGAAATTAAAGTTTACGTGATAAAACTTTAGTGAGTATTAGACTTTTTTCGGAGCAAAGTCCTGCAAAAGTTCATCCAGTTGCCCAAATGCTTTATTTTGGTTACGGTACGAAGAAGGTTCAGCAAACATTTTCATCTGTTCAGTAAACCCAACCCTTCAGTACACTTGAGAGAAACACAAAGCAAACAAAGCAGAAGAATGGAACCAGAAGATCAAATCCTAGCACCAAAAACCAAAGAAGAAGAAGACATAGACATGGCTATGGCAGATACTAATGAAAACGCAGAAGCAATAGAGCCCAACTCTCCAGACTTGAAGAGTCAAGTGACTCGGACTCAGACTCAGACTTAGAAGATGAAGCACAGCAAAAATTATCGAGTCCCAGCTCGCCAATGAGCCCTCCAACTATGAAGTCCATGTTAAAGTACGTTTTTATATCAATTTGAATATGAATTTCAATACCCAGTTCTTGGATTTTTGTTTTTAGTAATAACATTGTTTTGCTTTTTTAGTGTTTTTGTTGATGGCTTTAGTACATAAGGGTTTTGAGGAAGATGGGTGAGATTGAGAAGCCGAGACAAGCAAGAGAAGCTATGAATGAGATTTTTTCTTTTGACCCCTGTTATGTGGCAAGAGTGGGCTCGAGATGAAGCTTCTATTTCAACTGGGTATGTTTTAGTTTTTGCATTTTGTGTTCTTGTTATTGGTTTCATGATCAAATTTTGATCGCTTAGGGTTTATGGTTAACGAGAGAAAGTATATAAAGAGAAAAATTAAATGGATTCATTTGAAAGGAGGAAGTGATTATCTTTTGGGGTTTAAATGGTGAAAACAATGTTGAATTTAAGTTTATGTGAGTTCTATCTACTGAGCCTTAGCTCAAATGTCTGCTTAATTGAGTAAAAGAAATGAAGTTTTGAGCTTTCTTCCTTTCTATTTTCTTTTTTTCATATGTTACAACTAGGAAGCAGTGATGTTTGACTTGGGAGGTTGGTTTTTGATAATTTGCGGCTGTCTGATATTTTGTTTGTTTATAGATTTTGAGTTCCCTCTTGTCATTGCTTTTATGGACAACCTGCTTGCCCTCTTGCAAAACTCATTTCTCTTAGTATAAGGATATTAGTTTCTCCAAAACATGAAGCTCAATGTTGAAAATCAGTAAGTGTACCTCCTGATGACAATTACCAGCAAAGCAAAAAAAATAAAAAGGCGGTCAGCTAAATTTTTAAGATTTTGATCTTTTCTTGTTCTGCATGACTGATACTAAAGCTCTGGGTATACTTTAAGATTTTATCACTCTGTCTAGCTGAATGTAGTTTCTCGCTGAATCTCTGCTTCAACTTTGCAGACCTGAGGCATTTCTGGGGATTGAGAAGATTTATGAAAGAGGAGTTTCTGATTATTTGGTAGGTTTTTGTTATCATTATGGATTTTGAATTACTTTATGCATTGATTTATGGATTAAAACATAGTGATCTTTAGAATTCTCATTTGTGGTATCTTTAGTTATTTTCCTAAAAATAAATTTCTGATAAAAAAAATTTAGCTTGCCAGATCTATGACTTTTGACTGGCTAAATTATTCCAATAAGTAATTACTAATGAGAAAATGGCTCATTAGTTTCATTTGTATGGTAGAGATGATTGTAGGCCTCGCAATTCAGAATGGATATCAATATTCTTACATTTGTGATGGTGTTTAAAGATACATGGTTTCTTTTTGATGCAGTATCAGATTTTTCTATCAAATTAGGCGATAGGATAAACTTTTTCAAACTTCTCGGGAATGGAAATCTATTTTTTTAAGTGGCAGTACATTTTCGAAGTTTTAATTGCATGTTTCCATCTTTTTCCCTACTTTTCGTGGGAAATCATGTTCTTGCTACTTTCAGTCAGAATTTGCATATATGTGGAATCAGGGGATAAAAATATTAATTCCGTTCTTTGGAGTTCCTTTAACTAAGTAGTTCTTTAAAATTGAACGACTAGATTCTGGTGCAGTCTGTCTCACTTTGGTGTGACTGCTTGATATTTGTGCAAGAATATGATCCATCTGTATGTGAATTTTCACCTAATGGTATTGCAAAGGGAAGAAATCTCTTTTAGCGTGCTATAACTGCTGCTGGTTTGCATGTTGCTGAAGGTAGTAAAATATGGGAAGCATTCAGGGAATTTGAGCAAGCCATTCTCCATACGATAGTGAGACCAACATTAAGGTGATAATTTATAATATATATATTAGAAACTTATTAGAATATGTGCCTGAAGGGGATGCATTCTTTTAATCAATTTACTTGATTATTTAAAGTCTTATTCCATCCTACTGGTTTGGTATTATGGTTAATAACGCTTTTTGTGTCTTCCTTTATATTTCCTAGAACCATGGCTCAAGTTGCATGCTTTGTTTATTTTAGAAACCTTTTTTCTTCCTTTTGTCATTATGTATAGTTCATAAATTTTGTTCTTTCAGTTCCCTATGAAGTGCTATATGCCCAGAAAAAGTATCTGTTTTCAAAATTTACATTTGTAAAATTATTGCTCTTTTGTAGGGAAAAGAAAAATAGCTTCAGCACATCCAAAGTATATTTTACTGTCAGTTGTCTGTTCCCCTTGCTAACGTAAGGTCAACCCTTCTCACCTGCAAGTCTTGGGAGGTGGAACTGGAGACTACTCTAGATGTTGAATCAGGTGATTTAGATGAGATTCCTTCTATTGTTGCCTTAGCTTATCAAAAGGCATCGGAGATGTATAATGCTCGAGCTGATTTTGAAGAACAGATTGCAAGGTAGGATATATCTGGCTCCAAAAAATTTCAACAATTCACGGTATATAACATTTACTATCAGATATTGTTTTAGACAACTAAATGATAATGCTGGGCTCTTACATGATACCTTAAGCATTTAGGTTAAATGGTAACTTAATATGATATTAAAGTAGAGGTCATGATTTGAGTCTCCCATCTATTACATCCTGCTACTGGGGTTGGTCTTTCTGTCTGAATTTGAGATTGGTTTATGTAACATGTGAAGATGCCTGTTACAAAGCTTAATACCATTGTTGTGCCCTTGCCTTTTCAAGCTTAAGCTTTTAGGTCAAGTTGTTTATCAACAAAGTTGCTGTTGAAATTTCATTATAATTTCAATTTCTTATGGTCTTTCTTGCTTCTAATATAAGTAATCAGTTTATCTAAACTTTAGACCTTCTGTTCTTTTTCTTCTTCTTTTCCTGGGGGTGGGGGGTTGCATAAGAACTTGCAATGTGGCAATAGGTTACTTTTTTTTTTTTTTTTTCTTCTTGAAAGTGTTAATACTATTATTTTAATTTGAAATTTTTGCAGATCTACTTGAGGTTTGATCAGTCTTCTGGAGATCCAACATGTGTTCAACTTCTCTATGAACATGCTATTACCGAGTTTCCTGTATCAAGTGATCTGTGGATTGATTATACTAGCTATTTGGATAAAACCTTGAAGGTTTCACCCATATTTTCTCTTTTCAATTCTTTATGTTTTAGGTATTTGTAATTTTAGCAATTAATCATCTCTTTTCCCCTTCAGGTAGGAAATATTGTGTAGGATGTTCATTCCAGGGCTAGGAAAAATTGTCCTTGGGTTGGTGATCTTTGGGTTCGATCTTTGTTTGCTTTGGAACGTTGTCGTGCGCCTGAGAAAGAGATATCTACTATAAGTTTCAGTTGTTACCCTTCATCTGTTGCGAATTATGAGAGATTGTTATAAGTAGCTTAAGAGCAATGAAGTTTCACAAACTTTAGTGTTGGAATTTCATTCTGCTTCTTTTACAAATATAGAGGTTTACTCTTGTTGTTTAAAAAGATTTTCATATCATATTCAAGTCTTTGAAAAGTCCCTTCTATGGACTTTTTAGACCATTGAGGAGGTAAAGATATTCTTTTCTCTAATTTGCAAGCTTGACTTACTGCTCTTTGGAACTTGTTATTGTTTCATCTACATTTTATGCATTAAAGATCTTTGTTAAGCGGGCCCTCTTTGTTTTAGTACCTAACTTATTCCTCACTCGAGTGGATGGCTTGAGACAAAGAATCCTTTTGCCTGGAGCAGAAGAGGATGAACTGAATTTTCCATTATAAGTGAAACCTTTCAAGTTCACATATGTATACTGTTCATTTTTCCCTGTTAAAATTGTTTTTACTCGATGTCAAGAAATTGAAGCTTCTCAAGACATTTGTAGATGCTCTATTCATGGTGAATTTTGGATGAAGAAAATGTGGACCTTGTAGCTAGTCTACTCTTTAAGGGTCCAGGCATAGATCCCTTACGAATGTGTATCAAGTGCTTCTACCCTTAGACTCCGAAGAAAAGTCTATTAATTTACTTCATTTAGTGTGCTGTTATAGTACCATTATGACCACTTTATGTAGAAACTATAGTGCATAACTCTCAATACTCCAAGATGGCTTTTGCTAATTACTAGATTATTACCTTTGTTAATTGTTTTGTCATGGAATAGTGTCATTTGCTAAAAAGTTTGTCATGTAGCATTGGAGTTGCATGCACGGAAGATATTTTTATGGCTCTGTGAATTTATTAAATTGGCATGTCATTTTCAACTGGTACATCGTCGTTGTGTAATGACTGTCTTCAATATTTGTGTTTATAAACAATTAGCCCGATGTCTCTTTAGTGTACCCTCGAAATTGTAGGCTCTGTATGATTGGATGTATTATATATACTTGAATACTTAACAGTGCAGTTTTTTTCCTTTCAACGCGCATCAGATTACTTATCTCAGTAGATGAAGAATACAGATGGTTTGCAGCATTCGTATGCTTATTGGGCTCGTTTGGAGCTAAATTTGGCTGCAGCTCTGGGTGTTTGGGAGAGCCTGGTTAAGATCTGGTTTGGCCCATTCATCCTTTTCTCTTTCTTATACTGTATAGTTCAATATGATTGATTTATGATTCGTCTTTGTATTTTTTTCCGTATAACTTGCTTTTTGTCTGTGCAGTGGGTCAATGTTGGAAGCCTGGCAAGGTTATATAGCTATGGAAATTGAATTGGGACATTTAAACAAAGCTAGGTCAGTCTACAGAGAGGTACAGTAAAAGGTTTAGTGGGACAGCTTCAGAGGCATAATCTTTTACATTACTTGCTTTCATTATATTAGATTGATTTATGGACAGAATTTGAATTTGATGTTTCTAAACTGGTTCTTTTCATAATTTTTTTTTTTTTTTTTTTTTTGAAAATTGTTGCTTTTAGTAGTATACGATGCATCTTTATTTAATCAATTGATATTTGTCATTTGCAATGCAAACATTTCTTTCTTTATTCTCTTTTTGCAACTGATGGAAGTTGAAACCAGACAAATGGCTTAAGTCAAGGTTGTTAAAATGTTGTTTATCAAGTAGGGCAATTTATGGAGATCTTTTGAACTCTTAATATAGAATCATGCTCTGCAGCTGAGAATATTTTTAGAGAGTAGCCTTGCAATAGGTCAACCTGTTACTCGGGCACTAGAATCACAATGGTTTAATATGTCATTTTTTATAATTTTTCCAAATCATACATAAATGATATATGACAGTATCTCTAGGGGTCATGCTAGTTGAAAATCCATGACGTTTATTTTTTTAACTTTAAACTTTGGAGTTACTGATACTCTGATGAAATTATGGCATATATGAAGCAATCACATTTAAACCATAGGTAGTGGAGTAGTTTTTGAAACACAATAGCCTGATAAAAGAGTAAAGTAGGACACCCTAGCTTTCCTTATTTACAAAAATTGTACCCATTGTTATTCAGAAATAAAAGTTTATTTTCTTTTAAGTGTGAAACTTGTCAACTTGCAAAATACACCAAGTCTATCTATCTAGCTCATAAATATAAGAGTTCTAGTCTTTTTTAATAATTCATAATGATATTTGGGAGCCATCTAGAGTTACAAATATTGTAGGGTCTAAGTGGTTCATTACGTTTATTGATGATCACACTAGAGTGTGTTGGGTATACTTGATGCAAAACAAGTTTGAAGCAGGTCACTTGTTCAAAAACTTTCATTCAATGGTTGAAACTCAGTTTCGAGAAAAATCCAGGTTTTACAGACTGATAATGGTAAGGAATATTTTCACTCTATCCTAGGAAACTACCTGTTACATCACAGGATTGTATATCAAAGCTCTTGTGTTAATACCCCTCAACAAAATGGGATAGCTGAAAGAAGGAATAGGCACCTATTAGAGGTAGCTAGAGTCTTAATGTTTACTATGAATGTACCTAAGTATTTTTTGGAGTCATCCGATTTTAACAGCTGCATATTTGATAAATAGATTACCTACTAAAATTCTTGATTTTCATACACCTCTTGAGACTTTGCTAAAGATCTTTCCTAGTTGTAGGATCCTAAATACTTTACCCTTAAAGGTGTTTGGATGTACTGCTTTTGTACATGTTATGTCTCGTAATAGAGGAAAGCTAGACTCTAGGGCCATTAAATGTATCTTGCTTGGATATTGTCCCACACAAAAAGACTATTAGTGATATTGTCCTATAAAGAGAAAATTATATGTCTCTAGTGATGTTACATTTTTTGAGTCACATCCATTCTTTCTAACTTCCCTTTAGGGGAGAATTTGAGAGATTGTGAAGGTTATTCGTGGGAAGTAGTGTTACCCTTACAACCACGCTTGAGTCAGTCTCAGTAGTCTCCCAATCCAGGTCAAAGTTCAAAGTCACCTAGTTTCCTATACGTTAGCCTAGTCCTATAAGAATGAGCCAGTCTCCTAGTCAGCCTAATTCAGGTTAGGTTCCTATAGGTCAGCCTAGTCCCATAAGGATGAGTCATTCTCATAGTCAACCTACCAACTGAGGTCCTACTCTAACTATATAGCCCACTCTTGGTAAACCAAGCTCTCAGGAAAGATTGGAACCAAGGGGAGGTTTGGAGAGATTAAATCAATCGGGTCTTCAATGTTATTCTCGAAGAACTAACTATTAAAGTGGAGGGAAGCCTAATGATTTGCATGAGCAATCATCCCAACTACAAGAAACCAGTGATTCACAGTCACAAGGT